TTTTTAGTTACATATAGTATAATTGCAGTACATGGCTAACATTTAAATCCTGAAATTTAAACCCAGTTCTGGTTTTAATGTAGATTTTCAAAACCTGCATGCTTTATTTTATTTTCACTTGAAAGAAAGTAAGTGAGAAAAATGTTTGCATCTGAGCATGAAATAATCTGAGATTGTCACATTGCCCAACCCTAAAGCAGAACAATGCTAATGAGAGGTTTGAGTTGTTCGGGGTAAGGAGAGATTAACAATAGGTTCACAACGCTAGATTTCTAATGTCCTGACATCAAACAAGCAGAATACATGCAACATTAGCCTGAGCTGTATAAACAAGGCATTCACAAGCCTTTAATTAGTTACTTGCCTGCAGTATAATGCCTACATAATCATGCCTGCAGCACTTTCCGCTAGTGTTTGATTATAATAAGTTGGTGACTTATATGACTGCATATATTTGTTGGGGTGCAAATTAACCACAAGGAAAATATTGTATTCATTTTAATGAAAATCAAAATGAGAAATAACTTGGGTGGCGTAAATTATGTGTTTAACAATGAAGCTGACAAAATATATTTTTATAATCCAGTGTCTTTCTTTTTCCTCTTCCCCCCAAAGCAATCACATAGACATGAGTTTTTAAACAACAAACCCTGTAAATATCTTTTGAAACGACATCAAGGGTGAAATTAGCCTTAGCAGCTTCGAGTAATTCGGAGCTTAACATTTTGGCAGAATATTCATAATAACAACAATTCAATAACTTTGTCGAGCACTGCATGAGTACCTTTTCACATCGGGATTCCCTGTGGGGATTGGAAACACTACAAACCTTTTTTTGTGAGAAAGAGTTCACAAAAAGGTAACCAGCAGCTTTTTTGTCTCGAGTCCCAGCCGTAAATAAACATTTCACTAAGTTAAACCACTAATATAAATCAAGGACATTTTTTTGTTTTCCTTTTACATAATGCAAATACAGTCTCACATCAATAATTTACATTTAAGAACAATTTCTGCATAATTATTAAAGTAAATGTAAATAAGCTTGAATAATTTCTTAAAGCGTTTTTAATTTCTAGTCTAAGTTGGACAGTGAAAAGCATAAATCAGGGACTAGAATAAATAGCTGACGGGTTAACTAGTGAAACAATGTTTTCTTGGTATAAAAAAAGATTATTTTGATAAATTTCTGGTTGCGTGATAGAAATTGGAGAAATGTTGCCTGGGTTATTCCTGCCTTAGTGGGAGTGGTGGCAAACATTGCATGAATGATGACCTGTCTGAGTTTCTGCCTTTGCCATTCAGTGCACAACCAAACACACGACAAAGGCAGAACATTTTAAAAAATGTTCTGTTTTACTCTCTATTTAGAATTTAAAGGTGACCCACCAGCTTCATTTTCCATGATTTCTGTTAGAAACAAATCAGTCTGCACTAGATTTGTTTAAGTGCCACTGACAGGTGCCTTTGAAAGTTTTAACTTTCTTCAGTCGAGCCTTTTTCAGCCTCCTCCAACAGTTCTAGTTTAGTCCTGATCATAAAATTATTTCTGGGAGATTTTGTAATTACTATAGACATATATTAGAGACTATGACTGATCTCTTTGACGTGATTCCATTAGGACCTACATTTGTTTGGCCAAAGAAGTGAAGGTTTTACACAGTGTGTTTGATGACAAGTTACATTTTTTATCTCCTGCAGAAAAAAAGAGAGGCAGAGTAGCGTCAACCACATGTCGCCCCCACATGCACGACAGTGTTACAATGTGATGTGGCCCTGCTAATCCATCTGGTCATCTCTGGGGTCAGTGCTGACACACATCTTCTCGTTTCTGTCAAAGATTTCCCTTGTGTGCTGTTGTGCAGCTGCCACCTCAGCATGCACCCCCTGCTTTCCCACACACACGCAATCAACCGACAGACAGCTCTACGGGTCACCAGATAGACATCATGTGTCCCTTCGAACACCTACATGTCTGCTTGGCTTCCGAATGAGTTTGTTGTTTTACTTTAGTTTGTACTTGTAAAAAGTGTCACCACCAGCCACTGATATGTCATTTGACAAGAAACAAAGAAACAAAACGTTTTCTGAACGTACCTTTCTTAAGATTGATTCTTAATGAGTGAACAAGTGCAAGTACAAAACAAACCTTGCATTAAATGTTTTACCTCTTTAAGGATCTAGGATCCTTTCAAATGGCTTCACTAATCCTTGCAATTACTCAAAAATGTTATTTCCACCAATAGAAAATATAGTTTTTATGTTCTTTTTGGTTTTTATAGTTGTATGTGATAAAACAAATTAAAATTGTTATTAGAATTTAATATTGTTTAATTTAGAAATTCAAGTGGCTTTCAAATAATTTTTAAAATCTCTTCAACATCTTAAAGGAGGTCCTTTAGAAACAAAAGTAGAATTGAATGTTTCACATGAAGTAGCTGTTACAAAGGCAAGGTGTGAAATCGCACCTTTAAACATTTGTAAACGTGATTCGCTGCATTGTGGTGAAAATGGCGGACTCGTAGTCCGAGACGGACGAGAGAGCTGTTTCATGTTTGTGAGCTGAAAGAAGTTAACTGCAGAGATACGCGTCTGGCGTCAATAAAAGCATGAGTTTGTGGCTGTAACCTATGTTGACTGGGGTAAATCTACTATCCCATGTTTATTTTTATTGGCTATTCACATTTTTGATGACTCCTCACCAAAAATGTCATTCTTCATGGAGTTTATTTCAGAAACAACCCAAAATAATCAATTTCCATTAAAAAAAATTCTCAACCGAGTAAGACATAATCTTTCTTTTTGGTTGTGTGGCACTATGAAGTAAATAGATGAAAATAGTAACACCTCATTTTATTGCAACGTCCAAGGTCACTTTCTTTTGATAAACTACTGTTAAGATCCATTTTATTACTTAAAAGTGTAATACAAGTTTTGCCAGCAGAGGGCGCTCAGTGCCGCATGCACAAGTTGCTGACGCTCTGACCACCAGAAGAAGTTGGCCAGTAACCTCCAGTAACCTGCCGTTTTCTGTGTTTTGCAGGTAAGCTGGTCGGTAAATTGTGATCGATAACAGTAACAGTAGCTCATGAGTGCTACGGAGCGTAAAACATGTAACGGCAAGGTGTGAAATCGCACGTTTAAACATTTGTGATTCGCTGCATTGTGGTGAAAATGGCGGACTCGTAGTCCGAGACGGACGAGAGAGCTGTTTCATGTTTGTGAGCTGAAAGAAGCTAACTGCCGAGATACGCGTCTGGCGTCAATGAAAGCATGAGTTTGTGGCTTTTTCCTATGTTGACCGGAGTAAATGTGTCATGTTATAAAGTGCTTGTGTAAAACTTAATTACTTAGCCAAACTGAACACCAGAGTAAGCTAATGGCGCACAGCTGGCCTTGAGCTGGTCCAGTTATTCAGTGGTGATTAAAGTCTGCATCCTGCTCTGTGTATCTTCTCCTTTTCAGAGGAAGCGTGCAATGTTTTCTGTCCACTTTGTGAAGGTTGAATACAACAGAAATGTTAAAAATTGACTTAAAATATGATTCATAAGAGTGAATAATTTGAAAAGGATTAAAAAAGGTCAAACAGTTAAATACACTATTAAACTAATTAGGCTTCATTGTACATTTTGTTAATACAGTAAAGTGCATTTTGATAACTTAGTTTATGAAAGTGATGTTTGTGGAAATAAAACTGTAGAAGCACAAAGACAGTAATATAACTGGTTAAAATAAGAACTATTTAAATGCTGTTGCTTCATTGTTGGGGTTTACAGGACATGTATATTCTGCAAAGTTGTAAAACAGAAAAGGTTGGTCCACATTTGAGTAGCTCCTTTAAACTGCTGTTTTTCTGTTTTGCAGTTTCTGCAAAAATATGTTGTACTGTATATGAGTTGGCTCATCACTTTCAACAGTTGTAATGGTTACATTAAATGTTTGTTGGAAGCCACACAAACAAACTATGAGATATATTATCTTTGCCTATTTTCATGTAAAGTTCGCTGCCCAAACTCTTGATGAAGTAGAGACCCACCTATCGTTGTTTAGTTTTGCATGGTAAAATATCTGATCTGTTTTGAGAAACAAACATTCACATTCATTCCAAAGAAAGTTACAATTTCTTAAATTGACCAGAAAGAAAGTTGTGTTTTCAAGGAAGTGGATAATTTGAATCTGCCCTTAAGAAATATTCTTTGGAGTATTTCTCTGATAATTTTATAAACAAATTATGTTTATAATTATATCCATAGACCAAATCCAGAATTAAGAGAAAAGCAAGTTGTCCTCAAAGATTTTGTTAAACGGAAAATAACCCAGTTAAAATGTAGGAACGTTCGAGCTTATCATTTTACGCAATATACAAAAAAAGTTTGAAGAATATAAAGATGATGAGAACACAACACCTGCCTGCCAGCTGTTTATTGCCTATGAACATGTTGATGTTGGCATTTGCCACAAAGTTGAGTTCTCTAAAGCTCTGAACCTGCTGTGAGTCCTCTGTTATGCTTCAAATCACATAGGTTTAGGTTCAACCTGTTGGTTTTATCAGAGCTCAACATACTGAACTGCTGCAAACTGCGATTCCTGTGCGTCAAACACCTATTACAACTAAGAAAACTCAGAGTGAGGATTTGTTTTTTTTGTTGTTTGTTTTTTTGCATAAAACAAACCCAATTTATATTTCTAAATCAGACAAATATGGACCAAACACAGCCCCAATTTTATGCTCCCCTTCCTTCTGAAAAATAAAAAATAAAAATGGCTAATGTGTGATGTTAAAGGGGAATGGTCATGTTGCATATTTATAAGGTGCTATATAGACTGTAATTCTTTTGGTTGTGCCAAATATGTCTTTGAATGTTCTCCATTGTTTTCTTAGCCATGCATGTTAATGTGGGCAAACAATAAATTTAGGTTGGAGAAATGGAAAGAATTAACAACATAATTATTTTTCTGTTTTCTGTAACCTCTGGAATGTTTTGCTTTTCATCATTTGTCTTTGTCTCTAACAGGAAGAGGAGAAAAATTTCAAGTCTAGTCAGGAAACAAAAGCTCAGTCAGGTCTGTAAATTGTAAGCTGCTCAATTCAAATAGCAACAGTTTATTGCAGATTTTACTGCCTCAGTCAGCATTAACATCAGCCCTCAGGGTAGTTAGTCTCTCTCCAGGATGAGAAATCAATGACAGACAGTCGTTTGGTTTCACTTGGTTGAGAAAGGAACATTTAAGTTTGCTTTGAGAAATGCTGTTATTCTCTGCTTAAAAACTCAGGTGCTGGTTCAGCCTATTATTGTTTCCCAGATTAAAATATGAGCTGTCTCTAGTTTTTGACTTTTCAAGCAAAGTCTTGACAGAAAAATGGAAGTTCATAGCTTTGATTTCTGCTTTTTAAAGCTCGTGTGTTTGTTCATTCGTTCTATCACCACAGATTTTTTTTATTTTTATTAACTACTTTCAGATAGCAAACTATAGAAAACCAGGAGACAGTGGATCTTAAAAAGCATATTCTCCTCCTTTAAAGTTTAAAGGTGAAAAAAATATTTTTCTCCCCACTGGAAATTCTGTTTACTTTGATGAAAGTGAAATGAAACCCCTCACACAGGTGATAAGCTAATATTGTCATGCCTGGAGGGGGAACTGTGTTTAATAATTTAGTGAAAGTGAAGAACAACAAAAAAGTTTCCTTTGGTGTGTAAAAGTGCCTCGCTGTAGACTGTCGGCCTGGAGCTGCAGCACTAGTGCAGAGGGAGCAAGACAGGAAGTCTGAAGTCACAATGTTAGAATAAAACCAAGAAGCTAATATTACTCCCAGATGAATCATTATAAGTTGAATTTTATTGCAACTTTGAAACCTTCAAATAAATAAAATCTCATTCACTTCTTTAAAATCCTCAATCGAAACGAGATCTGTGACCTGCTGCTGTCCTCTGGATCTAAGCCAGGAGGCAGAATATAACAAGTGAGGCTGCTTTAAAAGTCCCCCTCATCGTGACTCATCACTAACTGCTTCTGAAGTTAGCACAGCTGTCACTCAGAGTGTTTTCAAATCAATGGCACCTCAGCAGGCGTACTTGATTATCGTTTTAATGAGAAAGCCCTGATTGATTTCCCTTCATTTATTGCCAGCTTGGCCTGGGAGCTCCTGGGAACTGATTTCATTTTCTCTGTATCCCTTCACCCCTAAAGCTGGGTCGTAACATGCCACTTATTGGAGAGTGATTGTCGGAGTCGATGCCTGGCATAAGTGCTGCATTTGAAAACATATTGTGATTCTGTATTGTAATGCACAAGAATAGAGAGGAGAAAATTAGGTTATCTCCTGATTGTTACAGTGTCTGTCGCTCTCTCTGTACATAGAGCCACATTTGTTTCAGGTAATTCCACAGATGCATGCTCGTATGAACTAAAATGTGATGCTTTATTTTGCAATCTTAACCACATACTCAATAGGACCTACTGTATATAAATATGCAAATTTAAAAAAACGCCATAGCATACATCCCACTGTCTAATGTGTTGTAGAGAACAATGAGGAATGCATCACTTGAAACTCAATAAAGACAGGCAGCGATGGCAAATTTAATTTCAACAGTTTTGTGCATCATCTTGTTTGGGGCTTTAGGGGCATACAGACATACAGTTCATCTGTGGCACTCTAATAAGCACGACTCACAATTAACTAAATACGCTCTAAAAATAAATCCCCCCTTCATCACAGTAGCATGTTGTTGCACTAAATTAATTTTAAAAAGAAACATTTTATCTTAATACGAACTATATTTATTGGGTGGATAAAAATACACTTTTTGAGCCATTTAGGTTTTCAGTCTAGATCTAGACAGCTGAGCTTTTGCTTTAGTTCAGAGTGCATTACGTCATAAAAACATAAAAATACATTGTGTAATCAATTATGAAACCCGTAACAAATGTTATGTCTCGTCAAGTGCCATCATCAAAATCAGCATTAGACATCAAATATGTTGGTTAATGTTCATGTTTTTTGGTCAAAAACTCTAAACCGGTGGGTGTTTAGCCTTGATTTTAAGGAACTCAATGTTCCAGCTGTTTGCAGTTTTCTAGAAGTTTGTTCCAGATTTGTGGTGCATAGAAGGTGAATTCTGCTTCTCTGTATTTGGTTCTGGGGAAGCAGAGCAGATCACTATAGTAGTAGTAGAAGTGCATGCTTATCACTGAACGGTACCTTCATGGCCCGTGTTGGCTTGTTTGCGATGTTTTTCACACCTGACTGATACGATGCATCAACAGAAAGTCAAGCTGCTAATTTGGAAGCTTATCCTAGTTTCAGTGCTTAATTTCTCTAATGATCCATAAACAAGCAGGAGCTAAACAGTTAAAACCACAATATTAAGCAGCCAAAGTTACTTGGATGAATGAGTATGTGTCTTGTCTGGATCAGTCCCCTGATAATATACCGTATCCTCACATCTCTGTCCTAAGCTGTGAAAAATGGCCCCCAGATCATCTTCTTTAATCACCCAGGAGGCTGTGCCTAGCCCAAGCCATTCTTCAAAAAGGCCGGAGATGTGTGTTGGTTACAAAGTCGATATGCCTATCATGTAAAATATGAACCCCTTCTGTGTATAAATACACACTCCACTGTAGTGTGTGTGTGTCTGCATGTTTTAAATCAGTTTTTTAGTTTAAAGGTATTATGTCTTTCTGCAGCATCACTGTGCCTAAAATGCTGACACTGTGAGTGCGCTACAGAGACCTCTGAGTGCCCCAGGCTTACTCCTCTGCACCCACCTGAGTAGTGATGGAGAGCTGTGACTTTGTCTCTCTTTTTAAAATTTATTAACATGATCTATCCACATTTCACACTGTATTGAAAATATAAGAGCACTTTGCTGCCTGAGAGCTGCGGAGAAATTATTCAGGATGTGTTGCAAGAGGTGTTTAAACCTAGTGCAATATAACGTGTGTGATGTGCAGACAACACTTTCCTTAGAAAATGAACAAAAGCTTCATAATTATATTCCTGATCCAGTGCCATGGATTTTTTTTTCTTGCTGTTAAAAATACATGAGAGACACTTGACCTCACAATGGAGGTCTTTTGCATATAACCTGAAGCGTAGCAGGTTCACTTATAGTTGGAGAGCTTCCTGGATGATCGGGATGTCTGGTGCAACAAGGACAGTGGTAAAGTGGACAGGTTGAAAAGGTTCACAAGGTTAGAAGAGATTAGCCTTGTGAGACAAATGAATGTCTTTTTAAAGGATGTCTAAACATAGCATTTAAAAAAACTAATTTGATGAAATTCAATGGTTAATAGAAAACATAACACAATTGTAAAAAATTAATTTGCTCTAAATCATTGTCTTGCAGCGCGCTTTGATTTATTGACTTGCTTAAAATTGAACCTGACCCTTTTTTTCAAAATGGCTTTTCGACCTCTGGAGACATCTTGTCCAAATAAAACCCTCCCCCACCTGTCACACCATTTACGACTTAATGGTTTAAAAAAATCAAAATCTGCACAAGAAAATAACAATAAAAGATAAAATCCTAAGCTGGAAACCAGTACTTGATAACTAAGATGCTTATTTGTTTTATCTGGATGTTATTTTTTCAATTTTTAGTTTTTGTTTTTGTTTTTTTTAGAAATAAAAACAGCAATCTCTCACTACAGGCTGAATGTTACCCTGCTCAGATGTAGAAACACTTGATGAGGATGAATCATTGCCTCTGCCCTTTGTGTTTGAGACGGAGTGTCCTGATCTTCCTTCCCTTCATCTTCAGCCCACAGCCGGCTCTCATTACTGCACTACAGACTCACCATAGGGCTTTACTTCACGCTGACTGAGGTCACTCTTAATGTGAACGTGTTCCAAAACCCATTTCACAGCTAAAACCTAACATTTGATTTTCTCTCTGGTCTTGGGGGAAGAAAGATGTTTCGATATTTTATGTTTTTGTGTCACTTATGGCAAAAAACTCACTGCATTTTTCCAGCCTTTTAGCATCCTTTGATTGCTAAAAAGGATGCTAAAAGGCATCCTTTCTGCAGAGTTATTTTTGCTCTGCAGACTAAAGCCACTGAAATTTGGGAAAGACTACCATACAATGATGAATTGGTTGTTAAATATAGCCTTAAAACTTATTTATTTTTCCAATCATCATTCACAGTCACTGCAAAAGTCAAAACTACAAAATTTTCTTTCCACACACCAAAATCAGCTTGGACTGTATTGATTTGTGCTCCTGCGGGCCAGAATGAACTCCTACGAAATGAATGACCAAAAAAAAGCAGTATTTCAAGATGAGGAAGGTGATTAAGTTCAAAAGGGACTGGGTATGGCACTGGGAGGCAGTGGGGCAGTTCACCGAATCCACACTGTCCTACTGAATTAGAAATTAATCTACAACACCTCCCCGAAACAAATTACCACCCTATAACACAAACGCAGAAAAAGCCCAGTCAGCACAGCACTCAGACTGTGTCTCACTACTTAATTTTTCTACAACATGTTTGCATCTTAATAGCAGCTCATCAGAAATAAGCTCAAATTAAACCATCTTGTTACCCGAGTAAAAAAGCTGAGTGATCAGGAAATAGTTTAATTTATAGGGAATGGTGTTCTTGAAAGCACTAAAATCATGTACTGAAACGCTCTAACACATACTGACTGTGCATGGAACAGGAGAGAAAATTTATGTTGAGTTTATCTATAAACTTTGCAAATTTATTTGGGTAAATTTCACTCAATATGTCTGAGAAGGAATTACACAAGGTTAGCAGCTAGATGAATAATTTATATTGTAATCAGGTCTTAAAATGTACCTACTTGAGTCCATTTTCTTAAATTAATTAGCTTGGTTCGGTCGGTTTTGTTGTGGACATTAAATTATTAATATATATTAATATATATTCAATAACTAAATGTGAAGATAAATCATCTGCAACATCAACATTTCAACAACAGAATCGTATCTGAATAGCACTAAAATCAAATCTTGCTATAGATGTTCTGGTTTCCTGAAGCAAAGTTCCCATTTATGACAGTTTACTGTAAGTTCTGTAAGACGGATTCAGCACCTGTCTTAATTGCAGAAGACCGATATCTGTCAGACTGATGCTTCCCTTAGAGCTTATTTTACTAACTGAAACCACTGGAAATATTGATATTTGTGTAGCACCATGACATGCTATATATTAAACATCTACAAATTTCACAGGACGCCTTATGTTTGTAGGTGTTTTCTTAGGTCAAACAACTCTTGCTTCTTTAAAGCTACATTAATCAATCCTGAGGGCTGTCTTCCAAACCACTATCCTTAAGATAATTCTTGACTTACACTAAAATGATATTATGTAACCCAGGTATATCAGTCTGAAACAACTGTCTCATTTATTCCTATGTGTTCATACATGATTGTATTCTGTTATGTCAGTCTAAGCATGAGGGATGCAGCCAATTTTGCAGGAAATCAAGTCCTTTAATACTGATAAAATAGATGTTACTTTTGATGAACTCACAGTTTGAATGGTGATATTTATGGGGATCAAGTGTGTTGCATTTATGGTGTTCATGTTACTTTTGAGGAAATGTCACGGTGTCTTTGATATTAATATTTTATATTTAAAGTGAAGTGATGACCTGAATGTCATCACTTCACTTCAGGTGTAATTTCAATCCTTTGGGGGTACTCCCAGTGGTCAGATTAGTATAAATCATGTTATTTAGAAAGATTCTCTCTCTCTCTCTCTCTCTTTTTTTAATCATCTTATTTAAATGATTTTCTTTTAGACTCCCATGGCCTTTATTGAATGGTAAATGGAAAAGAAAGGAGGAGGGAAGGGGAAGATGTGCTGCAAATGGCCCAGGAAGCAAATCCAGGACAACCGCATGAAGGACTGCAGACTCTGCCCACAGTAAGCTTCTTCTACCAACAGAGCCGTCCTTTCATTAGCGTCCAGCATGCCGAGATGAGCGAAGGGTCTGGATAGTGTAATGCGAAGTTAAATAATACATTATGCAGCTGTGGTGCATATTTGTGTGAAAGTGCTGTCTATTTGTTTTACGCATCTCAAAAAACTTTTTGTCAGCATAACTTACCTGGTGATCAAACTGTATATGCTCGAGTGTGAAATGTAAAGTAAAGCAATGTGGGTGTTAATCCAATGACATTATGTCCCTTCACGTTGTTGAAATGAAACGCAGATAACCAAAAGGTCGAAGTAGTATTTTCATTCTCTGCTAGACATCACAAATAATAGAGTAGTAGTTGACTGAAGCATCTTCAGTCAAATTTGAATTAAAATATTTACAGAAAACTAATTTTATTAGAAATAAACATACAAATTCTGATTAAAGTTTGAACTTTGTGAACATTCCATCCCTCCAAAGCTTTTTTTATAATGTGCATTTTTCATTCTCTCATAGTGTTACCCATCTTTCCATTTGTATTTCTATCTATAGTCTCATTTCTTCCAGCTAAACCATCCAGTCTAACGCCTAAACGGAGGAAACATTGTGCATTCTTCAGAGCCAAAACGCACCAATCGCTTCTGACACACACAAACACAGCCTTGCGCTGGCCGGGGCGAGAAATTGTTGCACCCTCCACTCTACCAGCAAGGATCCCTGCTCAGATGCAAATTCAAATGTCAGCTTACTTTCTCCTCAAAGGCAGTGTCAGCTCAATGAATGAGTGGGATCTTAAAATCAGGTAATTGTTTTTGGCAGATCATTGTATTTAGTTACAGTATTGAGTGAAGCTAAACCATCTAAAGGTGCAAAAGGAGGGGAAGCAAATGCACACGGACACATGCAAAAGGGATACATAAGAGGAACAGCATCTTGTTTTTTTTTTTTTAAATTGTGCAGAGATTAAAATGGAAATGTTTTATTTTACATTGTTAGAAAATGGGCCTCTTTGTAATAGCACTTGGCAGTATTGGAACTGAATAGCACTTCCACTTCCAATACTTTTTTAATCTGGGTATAACATTAAAAGGTTCACTTCTATTACTGAGATCATTTACATCAGTTTTCAACAAATTTTAATATTAATGGGAAGTTTCTTTTATTTCAGTAACTTAATTTATCAATTGGAACATATATACAACATATCTGGGGAATATTCACTGTTTGCGCATTTTCTATGTTGCAGGCTTATTTCAAATTGTATTACATTAATTTCTTTTCTCAAAATTATGCACTCAAACACTCCATTATAACATGGGGGGGAGAGGGGTTGTGCGTTTTGCAAGTTTTCAAAAATTTATCAGCCTTTTGCAGAGAGCAGAGATGAATTGATAATTCAAGGAAGAATATAAAGTCAGAAAAATTTCTAAAGGCTTAAACAGTTCAACAAAACATAACTGTTTAACCAGAAAGGAAAACTAGCAAAATAAAATGATTTGCATCAAATTCTACTGGATATAAAATACAGCCACATTTTTCATGTAATGTAAAGTCATACATCACCACATCAATTTCCCTCCCCTGGCATGGCAGCAGACAGGTGATGAAGTCTCGTCTCTCTCATAATCTTGTTATTGCTGCACTTCTCTGCTCTGGACCAAGGCCAAAACACATATTACACAAATAAAACAAGAGGAAGACAGACTGAGGAGGGTAAAGTGACTGCTGCAGCCTCTGCATCTCTTCTCTGCCCCAGAATCCCACTGGATGACAAAAAGTTCTCTACATTCATGCCTTTTACCTGGTTGGAGACAAATTTACTGAGATTACATACAGCCATATAATCTGTGCATGTAAATTAATTTAATTTTAATGGAACCCGATTCACAACCCAAGCCAAGAAAATAAGCAGGAGAAACTGAAACATATATGTGCAAACCTGCATAAGAATAACTTAACTAGATCTGCTTCAGACTGTCTAATCATTGCGAGGAGGAAACAAAACTCACTATAGTTATTATCAAACCCTATTCTGTCTTTATCAAATCATTTGCATCATAGACAGTAACAATCTAAACAATTCTTTTTTTTTTTATTACAAGTATTAGAAATGTTGTTTTTACTGTGTGAACAGGAACATCAATGACTGCAGCATATTTCTGTGAGGATTGGGAGATATTGAAACAGCTAAATTGATTTTTTTTTCATTAGGCAATTTTTTGAGGGGAAAAACAAAAATATGATGCGGACGAGGCCAGAGGAAGTACCACTGTGGTAACAAAACTTCTCGTTTACAAAAAGTAAAATACTTCAACTTAATATTGCACAATAGAATTTTGATCTAAAACTAGATGTGACCTCTGCATTCTTGCTTCAGGCTCTGCAATATAAAGAGTGCCCTTTAGTAGTACAGAAAGGGCACATCACGTGCTTGACATTTAGACCATTTGAACCAAGAAAGAATGGAGTTCTTGTGCTCCCCCACTGTGGATACCTAGTAGGCAAATGATGCTTCGTTGGAGCATCTTACAACACTAAAAAACAAGCATAAAAACAACCCATGATGTCCAAGACAGTTGTGTGCCAGAATGTTTAGCTGTGTTGTAAAAAATGACTGCTGAATTTCTAAATGTCAGAAACTTGAGGTGTGCTTAATGATTATGAAAGTGATGCTGTCTGATGTGGATGAAGTAAATATGGTGTAACCTTGAGTGCTATGCACAATGAGTGCAGATAATGAATCATTTATACTGAAAAAGGATGAAAAATGTCAGCCATCAGTCGGAGCCCAGAGAAAAGAAGAAAAAGAAAGAAGTTGTAGGTGTCTGCTTAAATGGAGACAGACACTAATGCACAGGAACTACAGAGAAAACTAAGGCTGCAGAGCAGAAGCATAAAGAATACTAAAGCACACTGGAAGAGCGGTGATGGGGTGTGGAGCCTCCTACCCGTGGGTGTAAATTTACGGTGGCGTTTAGATGTCATCTGCTATGGTTAGTGCAGCACGGGTGACAGCAGCGGTCTGCTGAGTGATCACAGCTCAATCAGCCGGAGCTGTGTGTCACTGCCAGGGTCCAGCCATTTGTCATAGAACTGCTAACAGATTTCTGGGCTTCGCTGCAACAATAAATTGCAACAAGGTTTTATAGTCATTCTGCCCATCTATTACCTTTTTGCATCTTATTGTGTTTGAGCTCCTTATCTTGTTTTGTCATTTAGAAATGTCAACCTTGTTTTGTTTTACCCCACAGGCTAATGTTCTGATGGTATTTACTGGATCAATGCAGGGATTTCAGTTTGCATGTGCAACACTGCACAAGTTTTTTTTTAAACTTTTTTTTTTAATAAGATTTTAATTATTTAACTAACTTTTGTTAATAGCATAGAGCAACACAAACTATTGATGAACCTATAGATGTAGAAATGTTATAAGATACTTAAGGACTGGTAGGCAATTTTTTGAAAAATGCACAGAATCCAAGTTTCACATGGAAAAACAGAAGCAAAAATAAGCATCTAAAAATTAAATTGCACTGTCAAAGGAAGCTACAATGAAAAATGAAAATTAACTTAAATAATTTAAAGTAGACACACTTTGTTATGCTTCAACTAACAAACCAAATTCTATCATTTGTCACAGTTTATTGGCTTTAATTAGTTTTTTCTTATAACAATCCCTTGTTTGTACCATTTTTACTGAAGGTCAATGCATCTAATCCTTTCATAATACAAAGGTCAGTTTGAGGTCAGAAATAATTAATTTGTACAATGAGTCTCTTCACTGAGAAGAATATAACAATGGAGCAAAATGCATCTAAAAAACGTTTTAACTGCGAGTTCATTTCAGTTAAGCAAATTAAAAATCTTATTGTGCAAATTTGACAGCATCATCCCACAAGGAGTCCAAAGGTATTGCTGAATCAGAGTGTCAGTGAGGGTGAAGTGAACGAGGCCTTTGCATTAACATGCAGCACGGCTAGCTTCCACACAGAGCAGTGAGTCACGATTATATATCCCTGAAGAGGTATGGGTCATCCTGTGTACAGCTGCAAAACATCTCTCCAGAGATGTGACCTTAGCTGCTGACAAAGACTATAACCTTTGCAACAGATCAGACCGTGTGGCTGTGCAGAGGATACAACATGAAAAATGTTTGCTGAGTTAAAAAAACAGCTGTATACTGTTAATGCAATAATATAGTATTTATGTGTTTCATAAAGGTTTCATATAAATCTTTGAACAGGGCTTAAAAAATGCATCTGAGGTGAAGAGAAGCCAGAGTGAAATCTGCTAATGAAAGAAAAAGATGCAGCGAGCCTTTTGTCAAACCACAGCAGCAGGAAGTTGTTATTCTTATAATAAAATTTCCTGCTGTTCTCATCTCATGTGTTCCAGTCTCTTCCTTTGATTTGTACCCCAGCTGTTCAAGTAAAGGCTTTACTGCATTTTTCATTCCTGAATGACTCTCTTTTACCATCTCATGTCCTCTAAGCAGCAATCCACATCATATATCAAATATTTTGTCATTTACAAAATGAATAACAAACAAAAAAAGTAAATGAATAGAAATTATGTTCAAAAGCAATCACAAACACATCATTGTCATGTAAATTGATTCTTTATTTTTACAAAAGATTTGAGAAATGTTCTTTTGATGAACGATACAAAAAGTTATTCAGACTCTTTCATCAGCCCTATTCAAATTTTCTGCAGATAAAACAACAAATAGTTCTGGGGGAGAAACGGTTTGAAAAGAAAAAGCAGCTCAACGCAAAAGTCCTCTTTGCTAACAGCTGTAACCTCTCTAGAGCTGCTTGAGAAAGAAGATAGTAACGCTTGCTTGTTTCTCTCTGACCCTGTACGTGGAACATCTGACAAATTAAACTTCCAAATTGGAGCTGTCTTTTAAATTGAAGTTCTGCCTTCATGAGAGAATACAACTCACAAGTAAAACTGTCGAGCTTCGTGTCTAATGAACCGTTCCAATCAATTCTCATTTTCTCTTTCTCTGCAACGACTGAGCAAACATTAAGATTAGTTTAAAAAATTGTCAGATAGTTGATAAACATTGGAAACGGCTTTACATTTCAAAACAATAGAATATCAAGCATGAAGCACTTGAAGTAATGAAGACTGAATGAATCATGATATAATTCTCCTTTGATTACACATTGTTCATGTTTGCACTAGTTCTGGATTATATAATTCCTACAGGCAGCTTTCTCCATCTTCTCAATTCCATCTTGATCCTGAAAAATTGTTTCTTTACTTGAACCAAAAGCCCACTAATTTTCCATGTGACCTTCACTAGGCTTACATTAATCACTTAAGCTTTCTTTCCCTAAGTTGTAAGGCTTTTTCCCCTGTGTGATGCTAGACTTAATGAGAACTGCAAGTAAAACAAAGCAGGTGATTAGCACAGAACATACAGGACGGGCAAACTGAATATGTGGATAACAATGTTTCGTACAGAAATGTTCTGTCATGGCACCACAGTTATTGGGCAAGTCTGCTGACAGTTGTCTAACAAATAATTACCGACACCCTCCACAAGGAGGACAGGCCGCAAAATCTAATTGCAAAAGAGGCTGGCGGTACACAAGCTTTTTCTAAAGGGAACTCCATCAGAGTTTGGACAAAATTTGAATGAGGTTCAGTTTTCAATTGCATTTCTGAGATAATACACCAAAATGTCCTAGAATTGTGTGACACCAAAAAGAAAATTACGCACCATTTACTTTACACGGTCATATTATCTGTAGACTGTTGCAGAATTGGGGATAAGTGTCCATATGAAAGGTTATTCAATT